CAGGGAATGGATGTTGGGGGGATGTCACGGAGTCCCCCGGCAATGCTCTGGAACTGCTCCATATGAAGCCAGGCAAGACTCTGGTGGATCCTCATCTCTCGGAGCAGACTGTCGTCAGGGCAAGAAGCTACCACAGCTTTGACCTTCCTGGGTCTGACCTCAGAGCATTCAGCATCCCCGTCCACACCGTGTGCTTCCCGCAGCAAGCCCGCCTGGACAGGGCTCCTGGGAAAGCCAGATGGCCCTGCACCCCGACTCTTCAGTCAGACGTGACTCTCAGCCAGCCGGTAAAACAGAAAGTTTATTAGTCGACAGGAAAACAGCATAGACCAGAACTTGTTATAACAGAAATCAGTGACTTTCAACAAAGTCCATCTTGGGGAGTCCTGGGCCAGACACCCTGGATGCCCCATCTTCCAGTGCCCCCAAGCAGACTGTCAGCTTCCACACCTCAGACACTCCCGTAGCTCCTCCTTGTCTTTGCCAGAATCACCTGGTTGCATCCCCCTCCTGGGTCTCAGGTTACGAAGGGCACCTACATGCAGGCAGCTATGGCAGCCTCACCTGCCCCAGAGGTCTCAACCAAAGTCACACGCCCTTATTCCCACCACCGAGGTATTGGTGCAGCACCCAGGGAAACTGAGGCACACACAGTATTCATGCAAAACAGTAAAACTCACGTAGGCTCAACAGTAAGACTCACATACAACATAAGGGAAAATGCCACTTCGTCATGAGGGGTTGGGGGGTAACCCAGGGCTGGGAGTTGGCCGCATGGAGCTTGCCGCAAGACAGAGGGACATAGAGCCAAGAGCGGAGAAGGACACAGGATGGAAAGAATCAACCACAGCAGCAGAAGAGAAAGCAGGGCATTGGCAGAAGCAAAATCGCTCAGCACAGGTGGGCTGAATGTCACAAACGGGCAGGCTGGCACAGGAGAGGGAGAGAGCTCGTAGATGGTGCTGAAAGACCAGGCGACGGTCAGCGACGGATGAAGATGAGAAAGGTCAAGGGAATGGCCATGTGTCACGGAGTATTGGGGAACTCAGGGCCCTGCACCCCCGGCTCCCTGC